AAATTAAAAATTTTAGAAAATAAATAAATAAATAATAAAGAGATAATTTCAGATAAATAAATAAATAAGTAGATGAGGAGGTGAAGAGAAATGAAGTGTCGGATTTTTCAAAAATTTCGGCAGCATTTCGTTACCCCGATGGGGTCAAAGTATGCCGTCAAGAAGAAAGGCTAAGTAAAATGAGAAAATTTTGGCAGCACTTTGCTACCCCCACGGGGTCAAAATGTGTGCTGAAAGCAAGATGACTAACTCCTAATCAGATTTAAGGGTGCCGCAAAGAAATTCTAATTTTCAGAATAAACAAAAAGAAAATGAAATAAATCAGAAAATGAGGAAAGAAGGTGGGGAATGAGATAATTCAATTTTTTGGGAAAAAGGAGGAAATATAAATCAAAAGAAAGATAAAAAGAAGAAAAACAGAAAAATTTCGAATTGGGGGGGGGGNATGAAGAAGTGAAGGAGAAAAGAGAGAAATAGGTGAGAGAGAGAAAAAAAGTGAAGGGGGAGATGGGGGAAGTGATGGGGTTGTAGTTGGGGAGAGGAGGGTGAGAGAATGAGAGAGAAAGGGATGGGAAAGGTGGAGAGGGATCAAGAAGCAAAGAGAAAAGAGGAGAAAGAAAAGGAAATAAATGATTAACATAGAGTAAAATAGTGGGTGGTGGGAGAAAAGGTGGGGTGGGGAGAGGGGTATGAGTAGTGAGAGTGATTAGAAGGAAGGGAGTGAGGTAGAAGAGGAAGAAGTAGAGGGGTGAGTAAGAGGAGAGAGAAAAGGTAGAGGAAGTGCGTTAGTAGGGAGAGGGAAGAGAAAGGTGATACCTGGCCCTTGGTGTTTCTAAGGGCACAAGGTATACCAAGACCAGGAGGGTCTTTGCCTTCACTGCAGCCCAACTGGAGGAGGGAGGGGGCTGAGAATCTTGATCAGCCCCTAGCAGCAGCACTGCAGATCCAGGGTGTGCTGTGTGAGCAGACCCTCACCACTGTAGAGCAGCCCCCTGATCAAGGGGGTCTTCAGCTCCACTGCAAGCTGTCACGTGGCACTGCAGATGGCCACGTGCGCACAGGCAGCAGCAGCCCTTGGGGGGGGGGGGCAAATAGCTGTCTCGCCGCACGCTGTTGCCGTGGCACTTCTTCAAGCCCAGCGAGCCACAGTATCAGCTCAGACTGTGGCTTTGGCCAGTGTGTTAAGGCACTGGCCACGCACGCACATGATTGGCAGCTGCCCAGGTTCAAACCTAGCAGCAGCAGCATCCCGGATCTTAATAATAAACAATCCGGGAGCGGGGCGGGGCAGCGGGCCACGTGGCACGTGCGTGTGCGGGTTTTGGCAGTTTTCCCTGCTATGCGGTGTGGTGGGTGGGAGGGGGGAACGTTCCCGGTCCGATACCAGTGTGGCGGACCCACCAGGTGTGGTGCTCCGCCTGGGATAGAGATGGAGATGGAGGATGATGGGAGAGCGAGATGGCACAGCGCAGCTCCCACGCTGGACTCCAACGCACGTACTCCAAAATGTGCCAATGTAGAATGATCTCAAAAACAGACAACAGTTGGGGTATACCCCAGCGGACTGACTCCACTGGACTGGCTGGTACCGACAGAGGTACCGCCCTGGACTGGACTACCCCGAATACAACACAGGCCTGTGAGAACAGGCCAAGGGACTGGTCTCACAGGCCAACCAGAGGTCCGCTACATTCTTGCCTTGGAACGGAGTTGTTCCGCCCATGTTTGCCTACCTTTTTCTCATTTCTTGTGATTATGTCCCGCTGGTCCCGAGTCCCTTCTTGGGGTTCTTAGTTCCATTTCACCGCTCATCTAGCCTCTCCATTCTCCTCACCTTTGCCGGATTCCTCTGCTGTACACATTCTCGTCGTATATCCTGTCTCACGGGCCAGAGCTTGATTCGAGAACCAAAGGTTCGGACACTGTACCAGTAGGTACCGCGGCCCGCTAATAGGCAAATGATTTGGCCCGTGGGGCTCGAGGTACCGGGCCAACGACCTGGATTGACGCACGATCTTAAGATCTTAAGCCACCACTACCTCCGAGCCTGTTTTTGCTGACTCTGATTTTCACTGCGTACCGAGTTTTGCTAAGCCTGGGGTTTGTTGTGTTTCTTTTCTGGTACTCTTCTGAAAACGAAAAAAAAAAAAAGCACGGCCAGACTTTCAAAGAAGGACGTACTCACAACCACAAAAAAAAAAAGAAAAAAACGAACACCCCTCTGGAAGTGATACCAGCTGGATACCTGCCCCGAAGTTGTTGTGTGAGTATGCCCTCAGTGAGGGCATACATTATGAGTTGTAGTGTGGGCATGCCCTCCTTCACAAAGTGTCAGCAGCCCGTGGACTGCGCCGTGCCTCCCTGGCAGGGCAGGAAAACAAAAGAATTGGAAAAAAACGAAAACACCAGCAACGAAAACCTGAAACTGGTCACAATCGTGCATGGCCTTCCCTTTCTTTTTTGCTTTTCGAATGGGCCCACAAGGCCCAACTGCCGAGCCTCCACAGACCCCCGAAAAGTTCGGAAAAAGTGGGAAAACAGACAGTTTTCTTATTTTTCCCTAGAGCGACAGATGCAACCAGACTCATCTTCTTCCCTACTCAGCATGCATGAAAATAGATGGCAATCACTCTGGCGCCAGGCGCCCACACAAAGCTCAGAGATATCGTGACCAAGAGTACAGTTCAGATTCAAACTCGCTTCAACTGGCTATGGCGCCTGAGTGCCCTCACTTTCGACACCCGATACCGTATCCTCAGCAACTGTTCACACACACGTCACTCTGGACCTCCCTGGATGTCCCACACACGCTCACTCTTTAAACAACACACTCACACAGGTATGCTACAGCTTACTGCTATCTGCGGCAGCTATGGCTGCCTTCTACTCCCTGCTACTAGCGGCTATGGTCGCTTCGCCTCCGTCACTGCCCTCTTCTCCCTCAGGCACCTGCAGGCCTCCTTGCACAAGTCGCTTAGGCAGCGCTTCCGCACGGCTCACAGGCTGAATGAATGAATGACTGGACGCTGCCTCTTGATGCCCAGGGTGCACACAGTCTCACATGGTACTTGCTGACTGGACAAAGTGCGACTGGGACTGGGTACCGCTGACTAGGCGAGGTAGGACTGCCCACTTGCCCACTTGCCTCTAGCCTAACCTAAGCAATTGTCGAAAGGTCACTTCCGGACTTTCCGGAAGTCTGTAGACTTGGCCTTTCAGGACTCTAGCAGCTACGACCTTGACCTTTCAGGACTGTAGCAGCTACGACTCCTACACAGTTACGACCCCTACTTGACAGACCTACGGTTCAAAACCCTACGACCACACTAACCTGCGACAGACAACAGATGACTAGCACAACACAGGTCACGGGTTCAAACACACAGGGGTTGACTTGGTACTGTACACGGGTGAGGACAAGGTCTAGGGATCGAGCCCTGGAATCTGCGTCTGCTACTGCAAAGGTGAAAACCGTTTCACAGAGGTAGTGATGGTTTAAGACCGCGCGTCGATCTGGTCCATCGATCCCATAGAACCGGAAGGCCTGGATTTCAGATTTATTACCTGTTTCTGACAATCCAGGCCGTGGGGCGATAGGACTGACGGCCGCCTAGATCAGAGATTGGTTCCCTTAGCGATTTTAATAGTGTAGGGATCTGGGCAAGTATGCCACTTTGGCGGCAGACGGGTGTGCGGGCACTTCCCACTCAACCACACAAACGTGGGGAAGCTTCCGTCTTCTATCATATTGCCCACCTATACTTTTTTTGGTTTTATGGATGGTCTGTGATGGTTTGTGGATGGAAGGAGAGAGAGAGTTTGGGTTTTTCTGACAACACACACAGACACGAGAACTCCTCTCAGAGAGGTCCCTTCCAGTCTGCGTGGGGTTGTCCAGGTCCTCGTCCACTATCATTGGTGTTATTCTGGCCGTGAATCTCAACTCTCTCTTCCATCTCTGGTCTTGTTTGGGCTGCTAGATTTTGTGTGCGTCTCCACTGTGTTCGTCGCCTAATGCCTGCAGCATGACCTTGCTTTGCAATAGCTATTTGCACCTCCGCTGTGAACACTCCAACAGATCTCCTGGGGACAGCACAGGTTGAAGAAGGGGTTGAAAACCTTGTTGCCTGTTCACTTCTCACATAGTGTGCTGTTTGTTCTGGATGGAGGTATAATCTTCACTTTGTTTGATGCTGGCTCTTGGCCAGAACCTTAACGTCTGACAGTTTTGTGGTAAGGGATATTGCACTTGATGGCATTGTTATGAACGCTGCTGCAATATGCAGTCAAATCTGTAACTTTGCATGCTGTAACTGAAACAGATCTCCTGGGGACAGCACAGGTTGAAGAAGGGGTTGAAAACCTTGTTGCCTGTTCACTTCTCACATAGTGTGCTGTTTGTTCTGGATGGAGGTATAATCTTCACTTTGTTTGATGCTGGCTCTTGGCCAGAACCTTAACGTCTGACAGTTTTGTGGTAAGGGATATTGCACTTGATGGCATTGTTATGAACGCTGCTGCAATATGCAGTCAAATCTGTAACTTTGCATGCTGTAACTGAATTCCATCTCTTAAAGTCAGTAATTATACAAGGAACGCATGGATATACTGATGTGGCAGCTTTGTGTGGAGTTGTCCAACAGCTGTCCACCCACCACCCTTCTCCACCATTCCTTTGATCCTCACTCAGCTAATCCTCTCATGTATGGGGACATGACGGAGATTCCACCAGCATGTAGTAAGAGATACTGAGATTGGTGTTTTTCATTTACCTACAGCTAGTACCTCTTAATCCGGGCTAGTCGAATCTTAGCCTATGTTACCCAAGTTGTTGGCACAGGCTTTTGGCTATGCAAGGGGAGGTTGCCAACTTGATATGGCAACCTGACAGTCAAGGGATGGATGGCATGTCCGCTGGTGACTATGGTCATTTCAGAGGAGCGGTGGTAGTTAGGGGGAGGCGGGCAATGGGAGCTCACACTCCTACTGGTGGCTAACAGGTACCCACGTGCACTTGCAGCAGAGGCGTTGCGTCAGGCTGACAATGAGAGAGCGAAGGCACTGGACATCTTGCTAAATCCAGACCTGCTGGTCGCCCTGGAGGTGAGCAGCAATGCCTTGTTATACCTGGCTGCAACCAGTTACTGCAACTTTTCCATTCCATGCGTACACCCTTCTCCCCTCCCATTCTTCCCCCACCTCCTCCGATACACACTTCGTTGTTGGCAACCGGGGGAGGGGGGGGGGGAGGAGGGGGAAGGTTGGCGGGGGACATGTCTGTCAATTCATCTTTTTTATACTGTGGAAGTGTGCATCAAGCAGATGGATGTGTGGGCCTTGTGTTGCTATGATTCATTGCTCTCTCTCCCCCGCTATCTCTTCTTCTCTCTCTGTCTTTCCTGGTCAGGTATGGACTCTGAGATGTGACAACGTATAGAAACGTGCAAGCCAGCGAGATAGCTGTCCTGTTTCTGTTCAGAAGCCATGGTGTGTGATGCTCGAGTGGATGATGTGAGCGCACCACGCGCACAGGAGTGCACTGGGTATGTGCGACTACCACTGATGCACGCGCTCTAGATTTTTTTTATTTTTATTTTGTGTGTGCGTGTGTGCGTGTGTGCGTGTGT